CTCTGGCATAGTTTATTGCCATACCCAAATTAGTGCAGCAAACGGAGAGGAAAAAAGTGCATAAACTCTGAATTTTTATACTGTGCTCCGATTTGCATGAAATTTTGAAATTAGGTTTACCTTACCCTCAAAGTGAAAACAATTTACACTCCGCTACCACCCCGGGAGGGTTGCGACCTCTTAATAAATAATTGGACATTGAGCTATTTTATCGCTAGAAAACGTTTTTAATATTAAAAGATACAATTAAAAAGTAATTTTTAATACATTTACCTTGCAGTAATATCATTTTCAACCCCGTGAAAATCCTGAAACCCTGAAAACCCCCCCGGGAGGGTTGCGACCTCTTAATAAATAATTGGACATTGAGCTATTTTATCGCTAGAAAACGTTTTTAATATTAAAAGATACAATTAAAAAGTAATTTTTAATACATTTACCTTGCAGTAATATCATTTTCAACCCCGTGAAAATCCTGAAACCCTTCAAACAACCTCAAAAACACAATAAAAATCCAATAATTTTTATTGATTATGGATAACATGCTGCATACTATCTTTTCTCTGTTCAATATTTTTTTTTGATTATGGTTTTAAGTAAATAAAATGTACATAACATGTGTTATTCTTATTGCAGAAAAAAAGTGGAAACCCATTTTTACGATGCACTTTTCAGTGCCATTAAAATCAAATGAATTGCCACTTGCAGGAAAGTTACTAAAGAAAGAAATTGTCATTTGAAATGAAATCACTTCTTTGCAATCTGAACTCCTAGATGCTTCTCTTATTGAAGGTTATTTAAAATGGTTTCATACAACTTTTACTTGAAATTTTAGACAAATTAATAACTATAAATTAAATTTCAGTGGATCTATATGCGCACGTTCCAGATGTTTCACATGTTCCAGATATTCCGGTTGTTCCAGATGTTCCTGCTAATGTACCTCATATTTCTATAAGATGATCAGGTATTTCAACGTTTCTTGAAAAGATATATTTCTTATTTTCTCTAATAGAATCATTCATTTTCTTAGATATTCGAACACCAAGAAGAAATTTCTTGAAGTTTATAGGTGTAAAGCATCGCAGGCAGCATACATCACAATTAAAGAAATGTCATGATATAATTATGACAACGAAGAGAAGTGCCAGACGAATTATGAAAAATCATGAAATTGCCAGAGCTGAGCTAAAGAAGGCTTGCAGTACAAACATCATGAAAGAAGTTGAAAATGTTGTCAATTCAATAACTGCGACATTGATCAAATGCCAGATGAAAAAACAGCCGAAACAGCCTGAAGGAAGAAGATACAACCTCGATTAAAAAACACTGGGAATCGCATTGTACAAACAGAGTCCATCCTGTTACAAATATTGGAGGTTCTTTTTATCTTCACCTTACCATTTTATCTAGTCCTTGGCTAATATTCCGATCAGCTCTGGTATCAATAAAACTTTCATGGAGACTTTGCGTACTTCTGTTCTAAATATGGATCCATCTAATAGAAACTGTGTTCTGATGTTTGACGAAATAAGCATTTCTGCAGGCATTGATTATGATGAGAGTAAAGAGCACTTTTCGATTATTTTAATTGCGCAATCATTCAAGTCGGCAAGTTCATTCGTAGACCGCGTGCGGCAGCACATGTTCCGTTTTTGTATTACTTTGTAGCGAATACATAATTCAAATTTATGAAGTTATCAACAATTGAAAGTATTTACATTAGCCCTCTAAACACTTCGAATTCTTTTCTGATGCTGTGAATATATAAATTAATAAAAGATATATTTTTAGGTTATGTCTTGACGTTTCTTAGTTGATATTTGTGATATGCTTGCGCAAATACTTGAACATAAACTTGAGCCGTCTGTGGGCACTGTAAAAATACGCTTGGTTGCGCATTCATTCAGTTGCACATGTGTACAGTTACGTCTGTGGCCGGCTTAAGGATAACATAACAGGCTTCGAGGAGGTTTCAGAGAGGAGACCAAAGTTTGCTGACCATGCTTTAGTGTTCATGAATAAAGGCATTCGTGGCCACTTTAAAACATCAGAGGCATTCTACTTTGTTGAAAGTAGCGTCAAAAACGCTGAACTTAAAGTTTGTATAAGAGACGATATATCAAGCCTGCAGGACATTGGTATCAATGTTGTAGCCAATGTATGTGATCAGCATGCTACAAATGTTACCGCAATCAACTTGTTGCTTAACGAGACAAGAGCACAGTTTCTCAAAGAAGATAGAAGTTGCAAACTTAAAGGGTTTCTTGTTGGTGATCAGGAAATCATACCACTTTTTGATTCGCCACATATGTTGAAATGTTTGAGAAACAGCTTTTCATCATATGATGTCACTTTTATTCAACGTAATCAGCAAAAAAGGGCATTCTGGAGCCATATAATTAAGATATTCGAAATTAATTCAGAGTTGCCCAATTTCCGCATGTGTTAGAAGTTACGAGCACATAACGTGTATCCTGACAAAATGAGGAAGATGAGAGTGACAGATGCTGCAGTGGTGTTCTCTTATAGCGTTTTTTCAATGATGCACAGATATGCTACTAAGCAGTGTGAGTAAATGAAAATAATGTAAAATATATTTAATCGCATTTATAATTCAACCTCTTTTAATCGTATTCTAGATGATAATTTTCCTCAAGAAGGTACTAGGACTGTCGATTTCCTGAAATTCATAGAAGAGCTGTTTGACAGTGTAAATGAAACAGCCTCCAGTTCTGCCAGTGACTCTAAACCTCTAGGGCCTAGGTCTAGGCAGTGCTCTTACAGATAAGTCTAAGCATTTAGTATTTTGGAAGGAAGCTAAACATGTCTCAAAAAGCATATGCTTTTATAAGAAAGACAAGAGAGTTAAACATCAACACAACCAAAACACCACCAACTATTCAAATTTTTTTAGAACATTGGTTTCGAATATATTTGACAGAAAATAAAGTGTCCGGAAATTAAATTTTTGTAAACTCGTAATTTTAATTAAATTACGAGTTGACAAAATGAAAAAATGAAAAAAAAAATGTATTTTTTTTTGGTAGTATTAGAAGTCACGGGGTTAATAATCGCAAACCTTCTTGCAGTGCTTTCATTGGATCCTACAAAAGCCTTTTTGTCAATAAGTTTCATTCCGTCCATTCTAGCCACATTGCTCGATCAACGCTTTAAAAACTTGCATTTTAAAAACACCAATGCTGCCTCAAATGCAATACATGCATTGAAAAATCAAATATGTTTGAACAATTCTACTACAAGTTTAGATATTGATGCCACGCCAGACAGTTTCGACTTTTGGCAGTTACATAAGAAATTGCGCCAGAGAAAAAGGAAATAAAAGACGTGATGAAATAGATTTATATCTAAATAAACCAGTCACGCCTATAGCAAGCAACACCATAGAATCATGGAAAGATATGAGGAAAATTGTTCCCAATTTATAGAATAAATTTCGAGTATAGGCCACCATTATTAAGTTATAGCAGGAGTTTCGGATAATAAAATTATCATCAGTATTCAAAGTGCAGCATATGAAAAAATTTTACCATTGAGGGCTCAATAATTACCAAGAAAGATGTTCGAAATATCAAGTGCAAAGCAGTGCTACCATACCCTACCCATATAGATAATAATAATAAAACGTAGAACATGATACTAGAAGAAGATGATCTTTTTGTGGTCGTAATGACTATATTGCAAGCTACTATTTTAAATGAATATAGACATGATAAAACATGCATAGATGGATCTCATGGTGCAAATTCTTATTGATTTAACCTGCATACTCTTCTTGTGATTGATGTGTTTGGGGTAGGTTATCCCGCAGCATTTTGTTTCACCAATCGGCAAGACAAAACTGTATTTAAATTATTTTTTGAGAAAATTTGTAGTTCAATAGTAGTAAAGTAAAAAAAGTTGCCACCTTAACTTTTATGCCTGATGATGCACACGCATATTACAATGCATGGTATCTGTCATGACTTCAACAAACAACCATTTACTTTGTTCATGGCATGTATGAAGAAGCTGGAAAAGGGCATTTAATGCAAAAGTTAAAAATACTCAAAAGCATACAATCGCTTTCAACACCAAATTAATAATTCGTGCAACACTATGTGAGAGTGATTTTTGAACTATGTTTATAGAAAGTTATCAATATCAATAAATTAAAGAGCATGTTTTTACTACGCAAATGCTGCAGGCCGCTGGTCAAAGCAGTATTTTAAACGTTGAAAAGAATGCGTTTCACCAGAGAAACCAAAAAAAATATGTATACCGGTAACATCAGTTCCGTCGGAGCGCCTTTTACGAAGGCTGGCATGATAACAAAATAGAAATGGCTCTTCGAAACACCCATATTAATTGTACGTCGCTGAAACATTCAACTGTAATAGGCAAACATATATTCGAGTGCACTAGCATGCTTATGTTTCAAGAATTATAACTTTTTTGATAAATTAGTCGCGGGCCTGCCAGTGTTTATTTGGCACAGTTTTCACATTTATCTTATTAATAACTGAATTAGTAATGAATATTAATAAATAACTATGAATATAAAGTAATAATGTTGTGTTTTATATTGGGTCGTCATAGTGAAAGTTGTTTTTTTTTTTGATGAATTAGTCGCGGGTCTGCCAGCCAGTGTTTATTTGGCACATTTTTTACATTTATCTTATTAATAACTAAATTAGTGATGAATATTAATAAATAACTATGAATATAAGTAATAATGTTGTGTTTTATATTGGGTCGACATAATGAAAGTAGTGTTTTTTTGATAAATTAGTCGCGGATTGCCAGTGTTTATTTGGCACATTTTTTATATTTATATATTAATAACTGAATTAGTGACGAATATTAATAAATAACTATGAATATAAAGTAATAATGTTGTGTTTGATATTAGTTCGGCAACGTTTTCGAATGATAGAATGGAATATATCAAATGTAAATTATAAAACAAAGCACTGTGTGAATATGTCTTCTATTCATATTTATCTTGTTAAATTGATTAATAAACTGTTTACGACTTGCAGGCAATCGCGTTGGGCATTTGGTACTCTTCCTCTTGGAAGCATGGTGGGTAAAATGATGCGAGCACTCGGAAGCAATTCTTTAATAATGCTCACACATTTAATAATTCCTTCATAAATTTCGTGCGGTTTGCTATGTTTCGTGTTGTTTGTTCCTGCCAATATAACCACAATTTTAGTTTTCAGATTTGATATTTCGCCGTTTTTTAAACGATAAAGAACATTTTCCACTTTATCGCCTCCAATTCCAAAATTTGCAGTTTGAAATGTTTGAAACTTGTCCCAACTGGGATGCCTCTCCAAGTTTGCTATAAGGGAGTTTCCTGTGAGGATAATATTGTGGTAATTCTTCGCCAATTTTAAATTATTAAATGTTTTGACGCCACGTGTCACTTGCCTTGCTTGCAGTAGGGATGGCGCATTTGTTAACATTTCCCCACTTATAGTGAATAACGGACAATCGCACATCTTGTTAAACGGTATGAAAATTGTCGCGTGAATAATAATATTTTTCGTAGATTGCTGTATTTTTGTTTAAAGAAGAAATTAATTGGATTTATATAAGTAGATGCAGATAACCACAAATAGTTTTGGTTATAATAAAAAATTTCGTCTACGCTTTGGCCCGCTATTCTCAATTGATTATGAAAATTGAAAAACTGTTCGAAAGATATTTGTTCGAAATGATACTGATTAGTTTTATATTACTGTGATTAATGCAATTACATGATTTCCTTCAAAAGACTTGATGTTTGTTCACGTTTATAATCTTTTAATATGTACCCGAACATCCGCTGTATTAAATTCATAGCCAACAATAAGCGATTATTTGTATTAATAGATCCTTTTTGAGGCCAAACTTCTGAGGTTTTTCCAAGATTATCGGGCAATCGCACATCTTGTTAAACGGTATGAAAATTGTCGCGTGAATAATAATATTTTTCGTAAATTGCTGTATTTTTGTTTAAAGAAGAAATTAATTGAATTTAATATAAGTAGGTGCAGATAACCACAAATAGTTTTGATTATAATAAAAATTTTAGTCCACGTTTTGGCCCGCTATTCTCAATCGATTTTGAACATTCAAAAAATGTTCGAAAGATATTTGTTGGAAATGATACTGATAAGTTTTATATTACGGTCTTACAACAGGTAGATTAATTTTAAAATTCATCAAATTTTGAGAAAATCAGTTTTTTTGACGTTTGCTAAAATTAAAATTAAAGATTGGCTTGTTTATAGCGACCTGGTCTTAATGAACATACTTTACGATTATAGTACTAAGAAAACTGATGGTTCAATTATAAACATTAATGATTTTTGAAAATTTCATTTTAGAAAATACTCGTAATTGTTGATTGATTTGAACCAAAAGTATTCAAAATTTAAACTTTTTTTTTTTATTTATTTATTATAATGGCATCTGATCTGAATCATATTGCCACCACTTAGTTTACAGAGAAAGCTATATACAATTTAAACATTATTATTATTAAAGTAGAGTATAGGAATCGTAAATCTTTCGAAATTGAATTTGAATGAATTTTTTAAAAAGTCTCTTTTAACACTAGAATAAAAAATTTGTAAGTACTTTCAGCTTTTTGTAACTTGTATTTTTTAATGCTGAAACGTAAGAAATTATAATATTTTTTACAAAAATTCATGATTTTTATTGATATGTATAGCGTATTATTAAAATTACATATATAATTTTATTTAAAAACTATTTCTTCGTTTCTATTATTATAGTTTTTATTTTTCTAGCATTCTTAAATAAAATGGCGGGAGCTGTGAGGAATTTCACGCTAGTGAGTAAAATACCGAAAGAAGAGATACTAATAATATTAACAAACTGAGTCCCATTGGGAAGATAGGCTTGTGTAAGTAATTTAAATCCACTTTTTATTCTTCACGACATGTGTGTAATTAGAACATTCTTATTATTATAGCTCGAGTGCAAAATCGA